CTGAAGAACAAAAAAACGACAGCAACTTGTCTGTTCCCCTTCCCCCAATTCCCCAGCACTGTTCCCATCCCCCAATTCCCCAATAAAAATCCTAAAACAAAAAATCACCATGCCAAATATACCACTCTTAGGCCTCAAGAATATAGAAGTGAATAAATTGTGGATCTCAAAATTTGATTGGAGAGACAGAAACGTAATTGTTGTACAATCATTGAGTCCCCAGGCAACCTTGAGAGAAGGAAAGCGGATCTGTATTAGTTTGCTAGAGTTCCCAAAGCAAAGTATAATAGAGGGGTGGTTTAAGCAGAAGAAATGTATTCTCTCACAACCCTGGAGTCTGGAAGTCCAACTCTGGAGGCTGGAAGTGTCAGCAGGGTTGGTTCTTCTCACCTTGGCTACAGGAAGGTCATCTCTTCCCGGTCTTCACATGGCCTTTCCTCTGTGCTGTGTCTGAATCTTCTTTTCTTATAAGGACACCTTGTTAAAATGTGGCCCACCCCTATGGTCTCATTTAAACTTAACACTTTAAAGGCCCTATCTCTAACTACAGTCCCATTCTGAAGTGCTGGAGGTTAGGAATGCAACATATAAATGGGGGTGGGGGAGGCACAATTCAGCCTATAACAGGATTTGAGGAGAGCCTGTGGGCTAAGAGCTCCCACACAGCACTGAACATGTACTCTCATGAAGTCTGGGTTGAGGCTAGGGCTGGAACCTGGATGCCAGTGAGAAGTGCCTGGGGCAACTCTCAGGCCTGATAGAGCCGCGAATGTAGCAGCAGATCCTCTAGGAGCCTCTGCAGAACCACGGCAGGGAGCAGACGTGGCCTGCAATGCCAAAGGCAAGGTGACGGTCTGAGCCTCACTTTCCCATTTCCATAGTTCATACCCCTAAATATCCTGACCTCATCCTGGGAGGAGCAGGGAAAGGAGGGGATTGGTGAGTCCAAACTCAGAGATGCTCCTTACCCAAATTAGACTGCAAAATTGTTTTACGGTAACAAAAAAATTCACCCTTCCCAATCCTGCCACAGGTAGGGTCTCATGGGGATGATGATCTCATTTATGAAAAGTTAAAAGGCTATATTTTCTTTGAGCATTTGTGTGCTATATCTCTCATTTCTACAGTTGGTACAATAACACAGTTGACAGATAGACAAAGATGAAATGAAACAATCAGAGAAAAGTCTTCTCAGAAGTAAATCCAAGGCTTATATTTTACAGAATTCTCACATTCCTTCTAATAGCCCTCAGAGGAAACAGAGGCACAGAGAGATTAATGACTTGCCCAAGGTGAGAGAGCTGGAAAAGGCAGAGCCTTCCAGACCTGTGGCCTTAACCATATGCTTTGCTGTTACCTAACAACCTCATGAGCCTCACTGCTGGGATGAGGCCCCAAAAGGCCTGGGGTGGCTTTAGGGCTAAGCTGGATCCACTTATGTCCTAGTTGGGCCTAGCACATTGCTGAGTACATAGTAGTGCTTCAATAAAAACATCTCGTGGCTGTGTGTGACACATGAATTGGAAACAGCATGTGGACCCCCACCAGCACCACTCATCTTTATGACATTTGGAAATTTCCCAAAACCTACTATCAGGAGGTTCATCTGAACCTCAAACATGCTTGGAGGTCAGCAAGAAGGTTCCTGTCTGAGCCTCTGTTTGGATCCACAAACATTTCCTGTGTCCCACTCTGAGCAGACACGAGACACCCCAGTGTGATGGAGAAAGGTAGACTCATGAACCGATCAGTTCAATATGGTGGGAGGTCAGCCTGGTGTTTTGGGAGCACAGAGAAGGGCACTTGTCCCCAGAGAAGGTTTGGAGGAGGTGACATCTGATCCAAGGCTTTTAAAAATAAAATTTATAGATGCACGTGCTTTATTTTTTTAAGATTTTTATTAAAACATAGCTAACATACAATATTGTATTAGTTTCAGGTGTACACCATAGTTATTCAACATTTACATACCTAAAGACTTCTTCATCTTAAGTCCAGCAATCATCTGACACCATACCATGCTATTACAATGTTATTTGACTATATTCTCTGAGTTGCACATTACTTCCCCATGATTTATTTGTTTATACCTGGAAATTTGGACCTCTTATTCTCGTTCACCTTTCCTTCCCCATTTTAAATTTTTCAATTAGAGTTGACATTCAATATTATTTTATATTAATTTCATGCATACAGCATGGTGGTTAGACATTTATGTAATTTAAGATACAATTCACCACACTAGTCTAGTACCCACCTGGCACTGTATAGTTATTACCATATCATTGACTATATTCCCAGTGCTTCACTTTACATCATCATGATTACTGTGTAACTACCAATTCGTACTTTTTAACCCCTATTCCTTTTTCACCCTGCCCCAATGCCCCTCTTATCTCTCAAGCATCAATATGTTCTCTACACC